GACCGCCGAAGAATGGATGCCTTTGAATTGTGTTGCTGGAGGAGGCTCTTGAGAGTCCCCTGGACTGCAAGGAGAACAAACCTATCAATTCTAAAGGAAATCAACCCTGAGTCCTCACTGGAAGGACAGATCCTGAAGCTGAGGCTCCAGTACTTTGGCCATCTCATGAGAAGAAAAGACTCCTTGGAAAAAACCTTGATGTTAGGAAAGTGTGAAGGCAAGAGGAGAAGGGGACGACAGAGGATGAGATGGCTGGACAGTGTCTGCGAAGCTACCAACATGAATTTGACACAACTCCGGGAGGCAGTGGAAGATAGGAGGGCCTGGCGTGCTCTGGTCCATGGGGTCACGAAGAGTCAGACACGACTGAACGACTAAACGAAACAAACACAGTTTAACAGACACATTTATGTTGACAAAGTCCTTATATCAAGTATACATTTATAATTACTGTTCTTCCTGGGTCTCTCTAACAAAAAAGAAAAAGTGGAGAAGCCAACTGAAACGTCTGAGGTGGATAGAGGCTTCTGTTTCCCTCACCTGGGCTTTCTACATCAGCTGCTGCATTTAGCTGGGACCGTCCAAGTTGACTGTGAGAGGAGACTGAAGCAGGGTCTTGTTTTGAGTCCATTTCTCCTGCAGATTAGAAAGGATATAACAGACAGGTTGGAGTAACTGTGTAGCCACAGGATACAGTGGATATTACTGTGCCATGCAACCCGTAAAGGGAATGGCAATATATATGTGGAATTGCAATAGAATTGTCATCGCCCAACATAAACCACAACTGCAAAAAACATTGATTTCCTTCAATAAAAATGATAGATTTTTCCAGAAAATTATTGAATTTCATTGAAGACTTGTTTGTTTACTACACAAAAAAACTCTCCATCATTTATATGACCTTAACTGTTTGTCCTATCAAGAAGTGGAATAAGGTTAAGCTTACATGTTACACCTAGCACATGGGGAGTCATCCACATCAATTACTACATGCATGCAACGAGATGAACCCAATAGCCTTTCTCCCTTGTTGTAAGCAGGATAAGAATGTAAATCAATTGATCGGTCAAACATGCCACTTGGCTACCTGCTCTCAAACATACCATGATGTCATGATTCTGATGCTGTTGGAACATCTAGCCTGTTGCCTGCTTAGCGCAACTGAATTTTAAAAATTGCTCCACTTTTGTTGTTATTTTTTATTTTGGAGGAAACTGCAAACTGAACCTGGTATTTCAGGATAATAGCCCAGGAGAAGAAGTCCTCCAATCAATTATTAGTTGTTTATAGAAACCGAAGTTAACATTGTAGAAAAACACAACATTTGATTGGAACTACACAAAAGTGACTTTGTTTAATAATAGACAATCTCCAGCAGTTAAAGAGAATTATCAAATCAGTTGATTAAAATGTTTCAATTTCCAATTCCTGACCAATATGTGATCAAGGTTTTTTTATTGGTCAAATGCCTCGCCCTTGTTATGAGGATGAAGAAGAAAAACAAGTGGGGCATAGAAAATAATGTTACATTTTAACTTCACAAGACTGCCAGCCAGCCAGCCATGCCCTTCCTTTGAAATACTACATGACACAAACTGCTTAAGGAGACCAATTTGCTGAATATTTTGTGGGTCCTGAAAGCATATCACTAAACATTCTCAGCCTACATTTGGATGCTGAAAGGGATTAATGCCAGCATTCTGATGCAACTCTCCTGCCAGTGCTCGGTCAATCCTCTGTTCAAGAGAGTGACTCTCAAAGGTAAAGACTGCATAACATGTCATTACCCCCACCCTTTTTTTAACAGCATAAACTTGTACAAGCTTTGAAATATGAACAGAATCTCTGGCTGCGGGCACTCCAACCCACTGAGTTAAACCAGTTCTAAGGTGGCCCATACAGCTATCCAATTCAGCTCCTGGATTTCGTAGGGCTTGTGTACGCAGAAAGCCCTGCATACTCCTTTTTGACTCCTGCTTCCAGGGCAAGCACAGCTGCTGTAATAGTATCCAGAACGAAAAACAAAACAAAAGGTCAGCACAAGGGGACACTAGAAAGACAAGAATGAAGCGTGCAAAGATTTGATAACCGCAAATCTTAAAAAAAAAGAATATCCTCAACATGCATGAGGGCAGACTTTAACACAAAAATATTAGTGGGGGGCAGTGGGACGGAAAAAAAACAGCAGCCACTTGAATTGCCCTTCGCTGAAGAGCGCCGACCCAACCCATCTCAGCCTCCAAAAGGAGAGGTATTTAATTTAAGTTGCAGTTCTTCGCAGGCGTCCTTGTAAAGTGGACCCAGTAACCCGACGGAAGCTTAGAAGCGGCACTGACAATCTCTGCGCGCCTTCTAGGGAGTCCGTGAGCCCAGGGATGGGCGCGCCCGGGCGAGGAGGAGGCCAGCGGCCAGTCCGCTGTTTTCACGCCGCTCCCAGCTATGGGGGACGAGGGGCGCGGGGGCCGAGACTCGGACCCTGGAGGGGAGCCCCTTCCCTTCCTCCCTCCCTTCCTTCCTTCCTTCCCGGCCGCCGGAAGGGACCTCACCTGACTCATCCGCCTTCGGCAGCAAGGACGCGCCCGGCCGCTCGAGGGGCCTCCCGAGAAAGCCTGACAAAGTTTCGCCCGGGCTCCACTTTTCGCTCCCTCTTGACGCGTGAAGCAGAGGAACAGCCTCTCCCGGGGCGGAGCTCGCCCGACCAGCTGCTTCCTGCCGGGCCCGCCTTCTGCTGCTGCTGCTGCGGTCAGGCGCAGCCCCCTTTCCCGCCCGCCGGACCCCATCCGGAGGAAGGATTGTTTCCGCGGCGAATTCCACTGCGGACACTGGTTCGTGCTCCTTTCTTGGGCAGGACGCCCAGGGAAGAGCCGTCCTGGGGCGGCGGCGGCGGCGGCGGTGGGGAGAGTGGGCGGGGGCCCAGTCCGGGCGGGAGCCTAGAGGACACCAGATGCCCGTAGACACACCTCCGAGGGGGCAGCCCGGAGGAAAGGCCTAAGGAGGCCCTCGGTGGGTGAAAACAGATGCCCAGCGTTCCACCTCCACCGCGTGTCATTTGAATATAAATCTCGAGTATACACTGTGTGTTGTAATGAACACATACCTTGTGTGTTGTCTGGGTCTTCCCCGCCTTTCCCAGGAAAACATACTTGGCAAGGAGCAAATTTATATCTCTATCTCCCTCTCCTGGCAGACTCTTTTTGAGATCCCACCGGCACCCTCTTCATTCACGTCACCTAAGGAGGAGGGGGGGACACCACCACCACCACCACCCCGATTATGAAGCTTCTTTCTACCTGGTGTTGTTTCTCTCTGTGACCCCTTCCCAAGCTGGGCAGATGATTTATTCACTCAGCTTCATTCTCGTATCTTCTTTCTCTGTCTCGACCCTTCCCTTCCCCCAAAGTGGGAGTTAAGCCAGAGGGAAACGGAAGAAGGGCCCTGACCAGCCAACGTCTGATTAGAAGAAGAAGCCCGAGAATCCCTGACTTGTTTTCTTTTAAACAGTTTGGAATCTTGTCCTTTGTTTATCACACTAAAGGACTTAAACTGAAATCTTGCTCCACTACTGCTGACTTCAGATGTGAGTCATGCTTTCCAGAATATTAACGTTCGAAAGGCATCTGGACCAGATGGAATCACGGGACGAGTCATTAGGGGCTGCGCTGCAGAATTAGCTGGAGTTTTCACGGATACAGTATTTTCAATCTATCCTTGTCGCAGTGTTCTGTCCCCACTTGCCTGAAGACATCTATTATAGTGCCAGTCCCCAAGCAGTCAGCTGTGGTATCTCTCAATGATTATAGACCAGTAGCTTTAACATCTGTTATCATGAAGTGTTTTGAGAGATTGGTGCTGGATTACATTAAGGCTAGTCTTCCACCTTCTTGGGCCCCATGGCAATTTGCATACAGGAGAAATAGATGATGCTGTGTCCATTGTACTCCATACTGTATTGAGCCACTTAGAACAACAGGGAACTTATGTGAGGCTGTTGTTTGTGGATTATAGCTCTGCTTTTAATACCATTCTAAATAGGTTGTTTTTTAAAATGATCAACCTGGGATCACCGCAGAAGATTTGTGTGTGGATTATTTATTTATTTATTTATTTATTTATTTATTTATTGAATTTATATGCAGCCCATTTAGACATAGTCTACTCTGGGTGGCTCACAAAACACAGAATAAAAAAAATTAATATGAAATAACAATTTCCAACATTTACACAAATGTAAAGGACTTTCTGACAGAGAGGCCACAGTCAGTAAGGATGGGATCTCACCATTCTTCTACCTTTGTACTAAGTACAGGAGCTCCCCAGGGCTGTGTGCTAAATCCCTTCCTCTATCCCCTGTGCACACATGATTGCACCCCACTGTATGACACCAACACAATTATTAAATTTGAAGACAATACAACAGTGGTGGGTCTCATAAATAAGAACAATGAGTCTGCTTACAGAAAGGAAGTACAGTGGTGCCTCGCTTAATGAGCACCCTGTTTAACGTCGAATTCGCATAGTGACGGATTTTTTGTGATCGTTTTTGCGATCGCATTGCGATGTTTCTAATGGGAAAAATTCGCTTTGCGATGATCGGTAAGCTGTTTCGCTTACCGATTTTCGCATAATGATGATTTCCCAACAGCTGATTGGCGGTTCCAAAATGGCCACCAGGTAAAAAGGTGGCTGCCCGCTGTGTTTTCGCCCAGATTCCTCACTTACTGGGCAGCGAAAATGGTGGCCATGTGGAGGATTTTTGCATAAAGGTGAGTTTTTTGCCCTTAGGAACGCATTAAACGGGATTTAATGCATTCCTATGGGCTTGTTTATTTTGCATAGCAACAAATCTGTATAGCGATGATTTTGGCTGCACGGATTATCGTCGCTATGCGGGGCACCACTGTACAAGGGTTGATACTGTGGTGTAAAGAAAATAATCTTACACTTAACATCAAAAAAGCTCCCTTTGGGGGAGTGACTCTTCCCACAAAGAATGAGGTTTGCAGTTTGGGCATCTGTCTGGACCCAGATCTCACCATGGAAACCCAGGTGGCATCTGTGGTCCAGGCAGCCCATTTCCATTGGAGCTGCAGTGCTATCTAGAAGTGGGGGCACTCATGACTTTTATTCATGCATTTGTAATCTCAAGAATAGACTACTGCAGTGCTTTCTATGTGGGGCTATCCTTGAGGTTGATGTGGAGACTAGAATTGGTCCAGAATTCAGTGGCCAGATTAATAACTGAAGTGAAGAAATTTCAGCACATCTCCCCCATTCTGGCCACCCTTCATTGGCTACTGATTGGTTTCCGCATCGATTTCAAGCTTATGATGATAACATTCAAAACCCTAAACGGTTTAGGACAATGTTGGCAAACCTTTTTGGGCCTGAGTGCCCAAACAGGAAAAAGAAAAAACCAGCATGCGGCGGGCTGTGGCAGCAGAACCAGAAGTGGAACCAGAAGTGGCAGCAGAATCACAGGCATGGAGGTAACTTGAGACCCCACTCCGGATCTGCCGCCAGCGCCAGCTGCTCTGGACCCTGGCCCGCTGGCTGTAGAAGTGCTAGCACCACAGCTGCAGCCACCTCCTGAAGTTTGTCTTCGGGGGGGGGGGAGAGTAGTGATCCAGTGACTTATGGCTTGCATGCCTGCAGAAAGGGCTCTGTGTGTCAGCCATGGTGTTACCGGTTTTGGACCTCAGTACCTAATGAACAGCTACTTCCAGCCAGATCTGTTGGTAATACCCATTCTTCACAGGCAGGGAGGTTGAGGGCCTTGACCCCGAAGGAGACCCAGAGGGAAAGAACAAGAAACTGGGCCTTCTCGGTGGTTGCCCCCCACTTGTGGAACAATCTGCCATGGAGATCCGCCTGGCACCCTCACTGGATGGGTTTAAATGAGCATTGAAGACTTGGCTCTTCCGCCAGGCTTTCCCTGTTTTCTAGGAGGGATTCCTCGCTTTACAGGCACCGAAAATGGCTACCATATGGAGGATCTTCGCTGGATGGTCAGTTTTCCAGCCCATTGGAACTCATTGAATGGGTTTTCAATGTGTTTCAATGGGATTTTTTTTGTTTTGTTTGATGATGTTTTCACTCTACAGCGATTTCGCTGGAATGAATTAACATCGTCAAGCGAGGCACCACTGTATTAATAAACAATTTCTATTTGGTTCTATTTAAAATGACACCTGGCCTGGACCTCTATTATGAATGGTACATAATGTTGATGTAATCAACTGGTGGCAGCTGAAAGACACCTACTATAGTTTGTGCCCTGTGTTTGGTGAAACAATCATGCTGCATATTGTGTGATGAAAGTGAACTAGTATAGTGCCTGTGCAACCAACACACTGCGTCACCAGGTGTGCTCCAAAACACAGTGGCTTCCACTTCCACAAGCTCCTTACAGAAATATGGCCTTTCCTGGCTCACAGATTTTACTATACAGTTCTGTGCTACACTAAAAATGCATTTTAGGTGGCAGGCCTTCCTTATAGTAAGTAAATCAGAAACTATAGACAGAAACGTACTTTCAGCTTTGTCCCATTAACACGAATGGCACAGGGATTAGAGATCAGGTACTTAACTAACTGAGGAGAAGGGAGAGGACTATTAGTGGTGACCACCCATTTGCTGCAAGCCTTGGGAGGCAGCCACCCCAAACTGCAGTTTATCCTTTTCTTGTCCCAGTGTTTTGCTGTTTGGAAGAGTTTATACAAAGTGACTTATACGGCTGATTTCCCACATAGGCTGCAACTACATGATAAAATATTGTGTGATTTGTTCTGCTTATAAAATGGTTGAATTTGACTTAATTTTTACTGACCACATGCTGCAAAGACTGATTCAAATTGATCCAAACCTTTCTGCTCCCAAAGCAGATTTTTTTTTCTTTTCCTGAGGGGATTCTACTGTTTCAAGCTTGAACAATTTGGACAAGCTCTTCTCCAATGTGGTTACTTGTGATATGTTCTTGTAAAGTCAGGGTGTGTCTGTGTTTGTAGATGGTGTTTTGGTGATATAGGCAGTAGGAGTGTGATGGTCAGAACTCAGCATTATTTCCTCTCCCCCAATAATCCTTTAATTTTTTTAAATAATATTTCTTAGATATATGAGATTAGTGCTAGATCACCTTATCACATTATAGTTGGATCATCATTATTATTTCCTGTATTTACACCCCTGCCACTTCCCCATCAGATTGTCAAAGGCAAGATCAGAGGAGTGTTGATGGCAACTTCAAACATAATACAAGCAGAAAATCAAATCACTCTGATTTGGCTTTCCAGTGTAGTTCCACCCATAGTTAAAGATAAATGAAAAAGGGGTGAAGAAGCATTGCTTTGCAGCTTAGAACCTGTCTACACTGGCATAGTCACACACACAGAGACACAGGTGTCTGCTTGTGTTTCTGTTTACAAAAATCTATCCTTCTCCTTTAAGAGCTGGTCCCTATCTTTCTGGCACAGAGATAAGGCATGCAGTCCTTTGGGATGATTCATTGAGATGCAAAATCGCTCTTTGTTACACCTTTGCAGATGGGCATCTAGAGTTAAAACAGATTGCACTGGAGATAAGGACCTTTTAAGCACCAGCCAGATTGCACTAAATTTTACAGTGTGGACAGGTCCTTTATTATTCCATTCCTCCTCCTTATCTGTGAGTGGGGAAAAGGGACTGAAGTGGCAGATTCAGCAGAAGCAAGGAGGACCTTTGTAATGGAAAACAGGTGGCCATCTCCCATAATGCTCTCTTCTCCATGCTAGCACAACAATTTACCAATAATGCGAAGTCTACAAAGATCTACAGGATAACTGAATATAATACCAGGCTCGATAGGAAA